GGGGTCGCCATACCTGGAGGAGACTCTTGTCAGGGACATCAGATTCTCTATTCATATAGGAGGCATAGGGACAATACAGGCAGACAGGCCTCAGTGTTCCCAGTGTTGATTCAGGATTCAGTTTATGCTCCCACGAATACACACTATGTGTAATGGAGCTGGTATTTCTAAAGCTCTTCCTGCCCATCATGTTGATGGGGCTGGAATTAGTCACACTTGATTTAAAATCCAGTGCTCATGAATGGGACTCATCTGGCAGCAGCCTGGTTAACTGCTCTCCAGGTACAGAGTGCCATTGAGTGCTCTAGTAAGAGCCACCAGTATCCAGGATTTTGATTTTTCTCTTTGGTAGCTCCTTATAAGACATATTTTGACAAAATAAGAATGCCTATATTTCTTTTAAAATGGAGCAATTGGCGAGTAGGGTCTACTAAGAAATTAATGAGCACATTAGCATGGGATCCCCAGCACTGACGTCAGGATTGTGATTGTGAGAACTACAAGATGAATGACAGTGGAGAGGGGGGGGGAGCCAATTTGGTATTCAGGGGAGCCCACTCTCTGTGTTCATGGATCTTGCCTAAGGGATGGAGACTTCATAGTTGGACCTTAGAGGAAAGTTCTTCTGGCCAGTTGTTAACTGTGGGCAAACAGGACCACTGACCTTCAGGGTATTATGGGACCAACAGTTGTCTCCTTGGGCAAGTCATAAAAGGAAGCATTAGGCAGTAGACCATGTGCTCCAAGAGGACAGAACCATGGCCTGTCACTCATTTTGCTCCTTGACATCCTTCCAGTATTAGCACAGAACTTCACATTGAGTAGGAACTCAATAAATATTTGTAACTCACCCTGAAGTTGTGAAGCTGGAATGTAGCTAATGAGAGATTTGAACCCAGGCAAGCTTACATCAGAACATCTGGGTTTCCCTCCTGATCCAATTTTTCTTGTCCCACATGTTATCATACAGTGCTGTCAGCTGTCATTGTCCATTAGCTGGTTTAACTCCTCTACTGGACCATGAGATGCTCCAGAAGGATTTCTTCCTTCTTCTTCATATGTCTGAGTGCGACCACAGTGAAGGACCTGCAGTAGGTACCCCATAAATACTCATCATATGAAATTGGTTAACATCTCAATGAATCAGGGCAATCCATCTGCAGCAGGGACTAAATGTTTTGATTGAGAGCCTGGCATGTAGTTGGAGCATTATATTTGTAGGCTAAAGGGACATGTCCATGTCAACTCCATTCAACCCAAGAGAATTAACCCTATTGTGGAAGGGACATTCAAGAATGGTGTTGTTCAAGATACATTGCTTAAAGGGCCATTTTAATCAGGAGATGTCCTCAACACTTCCATGCTTAGATGAGTGAACAGAAGCTCAGAGAGGTTGCATAGGTTGGGTTCCAGCAAACAGATTTGAGATGTAGACTTTCATGTTAATGTATGTACAATTTAAAGGTGAGGACAATGAGTGTCTAAGAGCTTTGAGACTTGCTCCAGGTCACACCACTGGTGAGTGGAGAGTGAGAAATAAGGAAGACCTTCTCTACCCATAGGCTCCAATTTAAGAGTTGGGCCTTGGGACTTTTATTTACCTTTAAACTGGAAAGTCCTGTGGATTTTCAAATTACCTATGATTCAGCCTTGGGAGAGGCCATAAATTCCTGTGATCACAAACTGGTTATCTATGAACACAGCAGCCAATGATCATTGGACCCAATTCTAGCTGCTCAGAACTCCATTGCGGGGGTGGTAGTAGGTAGGATTAGCAGAGCATTGCTAGAGATTGCTCCAAATCAACCTCTTTGGTTTTATTCTGTTTTTATCTCCTTCCCCAAGCATGCGGGAGTTTTAGTCAATGGAAACCAACCTTGTTTCCAGTGGGGACTCCTCCCAAATTTACTTTTATCCAATTATTCCATTATTTTTCTTCAGGTAGGATGCTAGAAGCAGAAGATAGACAAGTAAATACACCAAAAAGGAACGATGAAAGAGAAAAACAAATTGGTATGAGAAAAACTTAAACTGAATTGGGAGGAGACATAGCTCTAAAAGATCTCATGTAAATTATTTCTCTCTCAGAGATTGCTAGAAAAAGTTCTATTTTGTGGAATATTCTTAAGAGAGAACTGAAGACAAAATTTCTTTATCAAAAGTGAGTTATCACATCCTCTTGGGTGCATTTCTTCTGAATGAAGTATTCACAGTAATTACTACAAAACACAATTATTTGCTTTGTGCCAACAACCTGTCTGTATTCGCTCCTTGAATCTTTATAGTTGCCCTATAACGCAGGTATGTCCAAGCTGGTCTGTGTACAGATGCAGAAACCAAGGCTGAGAGTGGTGACTGAAGCCCAAACCTGAGTCCAGACTCTATGCTCTGTCCCACTGTGCTCACTGCTGTCCTGTTTGCAGGCCCAAGGGCTGCCTTCTCTTCCAGCAGGAGGGGCTGTGATGTCCTCAGATGGTGTGTCTGTGTCTGTGGGGGGAGTGTTGATGGCAGCCTGACACCAGATTCATAACCAACAATACCCTGGGAACACTGTAAAATGCTTTCTGCATTTTATATTTCATGTATTTGGAAAGGACTGACTTTAATTCCACGGGCGCCACGATTTCCTTGGAGGATCATCCCTTCCAGGTCTGCAAGATTCTCTCTAGCTCAGGAGAAGAAAACACTTGTATTTTTTTTTTTTTAATGCAAGCTTCCCTTTTTAAGCCATCCTTGCCTTAAGTATCCAAGACCTTCAGGCAAGGAAGGCTGAAGTACGTGGTGGTCACACTCTGGACCCCTAAGTCAGCAGACCTGCATGTGCGCCCTCCTCTGGCTGTCCCTGCTACGTGATCCTGGTGGCTTCCTTGCCTGGCACGTCAGTGCCTTTCTGTCTAAATGGGTTAATAACGTTAAATGATGAGCACACGCCCAGCAGCAAGGATGCGCTCCATTCTTTCCTTCCTTTCTTCCCCCATCAGCGCCAGAGCAAGGCAAATGGGTTCTTCTAATTTGGGTTTTGTGAATGTGGCAAAAAAGGCTCCAAAGCCAAATCGGGATTCACTGGTTTCTAATACAGACCTTGTCCTACCCCAGGGAGAGGCTGTTTGACAACCTGCCAATGTTTTGTTGATTTAAGAACTTGGTGTGCCTGTCACCTCCAAGGCACGACACATTCTGAACAGTTCCTCTCAGTCCAGCCATTAATCACCCTCTGTAATTAAATAACACAGAAACCTGTAATTAGGGTATTGATTTGTTGGTTTAATTGTTTACTCTTGGGGTCTCCCTCCAGCCTATGAGCTTCATGAGGGCAAGGACAATGTCCACGTTTATCCTCAGCGGGTCCCTGTCACTTGCCTCAGCGCTTGGCACATAGAAAATTATTATTATTATTATTTTTAAAGATTTATTTATTTATTTGTACAAGCACTGGGTACAGTCAGAAGCGCGGGAGGGTGAGAGAATTCACCAGAGCCAGAGAGGGGAACAGAACAGGCAGACCTATGAAGTACACTGCTGAGGGGAGCAGCGGGCGCGGCAGGAGAGGTCTGCGTGCCGTGTGGGACCCTCGCCAAGCGGCCGGGGATCGAACCGGCACTGCAGAGGCTGCGGGCATCTTCACAGCCCAGAGCTCAACTGCTGCGCCACCAGGGGAGGCCCCATAGAAAATTCTTAACAAAAATTGGCTGAATAAAGGAATAAGTGGATATAAGGGTTCACAGTCAAGTGTCTCCCCGGTATTGTACTAAGTGTGAGAGAGGAGTTGATAGTGAGCAAGGAAATTCAGTAAAAAATAAAGATTTGTTTTGCATCTGGATGGTGCTTGTTGCTTAGATAGCACTTAATTCTGTGAGTGCTGATGGTGAAAACGACAGACAGTGATGATGATGGCAGCAGGGATGATGATGGAGATATTACTTTTTTAAACTTTTATTACATAACAGGTAGTTTACATGCATTATCTCACATGATTCTTACAATGACTTTATATTTGTTATTATAAACATATGCATAACTCTACATATATTACTTAAATTATTTAACATATGAAGGAATGAGGCTCAAAGTATTTGCTTAAGTCATCCAGCAAGTAATGGGCAGTTGAGACTTAATCTCAAATCAATCTAACTTTGCTCTTGGCCATGGAATTCTAATAGTTTTTTGTGGTCATGGTCTCAGGTATTGTGCCGAGGGATTAGTACAATTAATCCTATTAATAGGTATTAATGCTTATTAATCTCTTCAATATTATAGGCAGTCACTATCAATAGAGATGATGAAAGTGCTTTGGAGAAAGACAGGATCACATAGTTCAAGAAGGACAGAGCTGGGACTAAAATACTACTGTTCTTATTTCTAATATGGAACTTTTCCTTTTATAGGATAAGGCTCACAGATTTGGGAGCTTGTTTTTTTAAAAGATTTATTTATTTATGCATTCAAGAACTGGGGTGTAGGCCAGAAGTGTGGGGGGTGAGAGGATTCACTAGAGACAGAATGGGGAACACAACAGGCAGACTGAGTGAAATACACTGCTGAAGAGAGCAGTGGGTGGGCCAGGAGAGGTCTGCTGTACCATGTGGGTACCTCCCCGGCCGGGGATCGAACTCGTGCTGCAGAGGCTGCAGATAGCTTCATGGTGCTGAGCCCTAAACCCTTGGGCCACTAGGGAGGTCCAATTTGGGGATCTTGAAACAGAAGGGAACATGAGACACTGGGACACGTGGACCCTGATTACAGCATCACCACTTACTAGTCACATGGACTCAGGTGTGCCAGGTGACTGACACCTGCCTTCTTATAGGTAACGTGAGCAAAGAGGCCCGTCTCATAGGGCGAGGACTAGGGTTTACTACAGTCATAAGGACAGAGGTGATTTAGAAACTGTGCTGTTCACTGATTCCAATGCTTTGATAAGTCAGTGTCCCCGAGCTTTCGACAGTTCAGTGAAAACACTGTGTGGTCGGTTTCACTGCTGAGGTGATTCACCGCTACAGTCCCACAGGCTCTGACACTCAGGAACTCCCAGGTAACCACAGAAGATGCTTTCTCCACCTACTGAGGAAAAGGTGTGATGTCTACGAGCTGAGCTTCACTGTTAGGTTGGTAAGAAATGGCCCTTCCTCATTGTGCTCTCATCACTTGGCTCATTTTTCTGTCCTGAAAATGCTCCAATTTCAATCCCATCTCAGGGCCTCCATACTGGGAGTTTCCCCTGCTTGGAACTTGCTCGCCCCTTCACACAGCGCAGCCCTCACCTCCACAGGTAAGCCTGCCTGCCCACTCTGCCCAGACAGGTGACACCCAGCCCAGGCCCCATCTTCACACTATTTTGTTCCTTTCAGCGTTTACCAAACCATGGGAACTACACCCAGTTTGTCCTACGCTCTGTCTCTAACACACAGCATATGCCCCATGAAAGCTGAACGCTGGGCTGGCGTCTGTCTCCATCATGGGGATGTCCGCCCGCATAAGTCACGCGCGGAAGAAATAGGCTTTTAATAAACATGAGTGGAATGAAGCACTGAGGAAACGTACTCCATCGTGTTACTCAGGGTGCCCGTGCTGCAGGAGGGCTCCGGCTCTCCCCACCTCAGAGAGGAGATGCCACATCCCATTTCCAGTCCCCGGAGTCACCGCGTGTCATGCCTGATAAATGGCCATCATTCTGGGAAGGCACCAGACCTTATTTCTCGGCGCGAGCTGACACCAGAGCCTCCTGCCAAGAGCGGGTGAGGGAGCCGAATGTGCACGCTGAGGGCCAGGAGGAGATGGGCATCCAACCCAGGCTGTTTCTGGAAAAGCAGTCCAGTTTTCCTGTTTCTCTCTCCTTGTGAAATCTGCTGTTCCCCGCTTGGTAAAGATATCTGAGAATGTGTAAAACCACATTTCCCGGATCTCGGGACTCCGTAGTTTGTGCAATTATAACCCAACACATCACAGAAGTCAGATTGGCGCTTGTTGCCTGCATAATTCATCACTCATTTTCCTGTCAGGGCCGAAGACCTTTTATATCTGGTAGACCAAAAAAAAAAAAAATTAAGTTTACATTGCTCGATTAAAAATTCAGAAGTTTAAGGGCAAGATAAAAGGGGGATGTGAGTTGTATCATCATTAAATAGACAGAGATAAATAAAGCATTGGAAGAGGAAACATAAAAAATAGGGAGACAATGAGAAAAAAAATAAACCTTGCTGGTAACTTGTCAATTTTCAGATTTAAGAATGTCAGTAGAAACTTCATTCATTTCTTTTTCCTAATGGTCAAGATTTAGGGACCATGGCAGGTTGGGAAGTCAAAAGATTTGGGGTACTGAGGGTACTATTATCTCCTCCCTCCCTCATTTGCCCCCCTCCCTCCCTTCCTTGTAGAACGTTCTTTAAGTCCACTCTAAGCCACACTGCAAAGCCCTAGCCGCGGGACGTGAACAACCAGTCCCATGTGACTGAGGGAACTGCGGGCTATTAGGACAAAGGCCCATTATGGACCAGAGTGACCAGTGTTGTGACAGAGGAAGCAGGGACTCGTGGGGTCCCCAAAGGGCCCCTGACCCAGCCAAGGTCAAGAGAGCTTCCAAGAGAAAGTGGAGCTTGAGTGAGACGTAGATATTGGCCAAGTGACGAGAGGAGACAGCGTGGGCAGTGCCGTGCTGGTGTAAACAGCACGTGGGCAGCCTCAGAGGCGTGCGGGGGCCGGTGTGCTGCTGTCGAGGGTGCAGACTGGGTGGGGGGAGGTGGCGAGTGAGGCGGGGCTCAGCGGGGAGCATCGGGAGCTCAGTCAAGTTGCTGGTGTTTGGCTCTCACTAGACCAAAAATTCCTCGAGGACAGGGAGAATGTCTTTTTGAATTTCTCACCAGAATGTTTTTATTTTTTCATTTCCTCCCCAGCACATTGTTTGCCGCACAATAGGATCCAATCAGTACTTGCTGACTGACTTTGTGACTCCTGAAGTCATTGGGGAGTCATCGAAGCCTCTTAAGCAAAGGAGCGACATGGTCATATTTGTACTCTAGGAAGAGCCTCTGGATGGCTGACGTGTGGACAATGACTTGGAGGAGGAAGAGAGGAGCTGGCTGGAACTGTGAGCTTGAAGACTTGGGGTTAAGGCTGTCAATGATCCTCCATTATCCCCTTCCCCCCTTCATTTATGGAGTGACTTTGAGCAGAGATGTGGAGGAAGGGGGAATGGATTGAGCCAACAGGACATCAGGGGAGATGCTTGCAAGTGGACACAGCGTGTGCAAAGGCCCTGAGGTAGGGCTGAAGCACAGGTTTGTCTGTGTTTCTGCTCCCCACTCTGCACCCCTTAATTGATTCAGTATGTGCTTTTTTCCAGCACCGAGTCCGCTGCAGCCTGGGTCAGAGGGTGGATGAGATAACTCAGTCTCCCAAATGCAGCCCCTGGCCTATGGGGCTCAACAAAATGGCAGGTGACATAGACCCACACTGGAGGTTCCCTGACGGCCTGAGGAAGATATAGAGAGGTGAAATAAAATAGGAAGGGGGTGTAGTTTTTTTGGTCAGGGGAGGATTTGCTCTGGACTTAGAAGGCAGGTGGGATTTCTTTGAACTTCTTATTTAAATATATCAAACAAATGCTTGATAACATTTTCACCGAGATAAATGCTCCCATGAAACCAGCAGCCTGATTGAGAAACAGGATCTGGCAGCTCCCAAGGATCCTTCCAACCACCCCCAGGTCGTCACCCACCACCCCCAACTCCAGGCAACGTGGGTTCCTTCTGCCTGTTTCTACAGACACATGCCCTCTTGCGAGTCTGGCTTCTCTTGCTTCAGATCATGTTTGCGTGATTCATCCATGTTAAGTATAATTGTATCTCATTTATCCCCATTGCTATGCAGGATCCCAGTGTGTGAACATTATTTTTTGCTCATTCTGCTATTGCTGGAGACTCGAGACACTTCCATTTTTGGCCAACCGGGCGCTATGACATTCTTCTGGGTATGAGTCTTTTGGTGAACAGACGCACGCATTTCTGTTGGGTAAGATGTCAGGGTGAACATGCCGGGTCGAAGGGCTCTTGGTGGAGCTGCCAAACAGGCCTCCAAAGGGGGTGCACTCATTCGCACCTGCACCACAAGCGTGCACGCATTGGAGGCACGAACCTTGCTAACTCTCGGCATATCTGTCATTTTCATTTTACTCCATTTCCTTTCATCCTGTGGGGATGAGGTGGTTTTACATTGTAGTTTTAATCTGCTCGCCTCTGTGATTAATGTAGTCAAGCACATTTTCATATGTTTATTGACTGTTTGCTCATCCTTTGGGGAAGTGTTTTTTTTTTTCCCTCCTCTCGGGTTGTCTACCTTTTTCCTGTTGGCTGGAAGGCTTCCGTGGTGCATGGCACACACTGTTGAGAGATATACCCTCTGTGGGGCGGTCTGTCTTCTTGCTCTCCTAGGGCAGATGCTCTTACTTTAAATGAAGTGCATTTAATTTTTCTTTTTCTTATTGCAGGGAGGAATGTTCTCAAATGTGTGTTTTTTTTTTTAAAGATTTATTTATTTATTTATACAAGCACTGGGTACAGTCAGAAGCGTGGGAGGGTGAGAGAATTCACCAGAGCCAGAGCGGGGAGCAGAGCAGGCAGAAGGACCGAAGTACACTGCTGAGGGGAGCAGTGGGTGGCAGGAGAGGTCTGCGTGCCATGGGGGACCCTCCTCCGGTGGCCGGGGAGCAGCTGGGGATCGAACCAGCACTGCAGAGGCTGCGGGCAGCTTCACAACCCAGTGCTCAACTGCTGCGCCACTGGGGAGGCCCATAAAACATGTTTGACTGCAGACAGCAGCCCTTTTCGGTAGAGGGGACTTTGAGCAAATGTGGGAGGTGGGAAGGTCAGGTCATACAGGAAACATGCACCCTCCATCAGCTGGGACCTGACACTGAACTGGGTGCAGGAGTCTGGGGGTTGGGGCAAGGCTGGAGGACAAACTGGGGACTCATAATGGGAGCTTTTGAATGCCATGCTATGGAGTCTGGATTTCCTTCCTGAAGTTTACAGGGTGTTGAAGCAAGAGCTACCAAGGCCAGAGCTGGTATAGTAGTATTAATTTAATAGCAAGTGCCCAGTGCAGGTAATGGGGTGAGGTGGAGCTGGGGAGATGGTGCTGTGGGGACTGTCAGGGAGACGGAGCTGCAGGGAGCTGCGGGAGCCGGGGAGACGCACCTGGGACACTGCACAGACAACCCTTGGTGGTCCTTCTCCCCAGATCTTACTAGGTAGAAGGTGGGCAGGGGGTTATGTTCAGGAATGCCATCTTTAAGGATATCACAGCCCTCTCAGGCCCTGGCCCAGCCTGGTGCTGTTCAGCTCTATGAAAAGCTTGCAGCATGAGAGGATGACAGAGGGTCACAGACTGTCTCTGAGGGCTGGTGGGAACTGGGGGGACACAGCAGGAGATTTGGATTACAGGCCAGACTCTGTGTCAGCTCCCTATTGAGTGTCCCTGGGGAGCTCCCTCTCCCTCTCTGGGTCTCACACTCCTTATCCACAGAAAAGATTGTGATGTTCAGATGACTAGGTTCCCCCAACCCCAGCTATTAGGGAGTTTACCCTGCTAACAGTGACACTGGCAGTGATCTAAGGGGTCCACATGGCTGTTCTGAATGAGAATAAAAGGCAACCATTGCCTGTACTTACTTCCTACGTTACTGGCTTGGATCCCCACACTAAGCACCTCTTGCTGAAATTCAAACATCTTTCATTCCAGATATGGACATTGCAATTGTATATTTTCATTGGTAATCTAATCTCCAGTCCCTCTAAAAATATTTAAGCTATCTAACAGAATAACATCTCTTTAGTGCCTTCTCAAGGCCGAACACCATGCTGGCAGTGGGGGTAGGAGATGTATTTGGACATGTTCTCAGGGGAGCACTGTAGCACGGGGTGGGTGATGGCGGGGGGCCCAAAAAGCCTGCAATAGGGAGTCATATGTGTGCATACATGCTAGACTCTGGCATGCAGCTTTCCTTTTTCTTTTCTTTTTAAATATTTATTTATGCATAGAAGAACTGGGGTATAGGCCAGAGGTGGGGGGTGAGAGGATTCACCAGAGATAGAGTGGGGAGCAGAACAGGCAGACTGACTAAAATACACTGCTGAGGGGAGCAGCAGGCATGACAGGAGAGGTCTGCTGTGCCTTGTAGTTCAGCAACCTGGCCGGGATCGAACTTCAGCCACAGCAGTGACAGTGCTGAGATTTAACCCCTGGCCACCAGGGATTTCCCTGGCACCCAGCTTTTCAATCAAGCCCTAATCTACTTCTGGGAAGGTATTTTGTAGAGGTGGTTGGTTAACATCTACCATCAACTGATGGTAAATAAAGGTAGTTATCCTTTATTTAGTAGTAGTCTGGGAAGTAGTCTGGTAGTCTGGGAAGGCCCCATTCAATCAATTGAAAGACCTGGACGGCAGAATCTGCTCCTGCCTGCTCTCTTCCACACTGATAGCCCTAAGATCCCTAAGATTTTGGACTGTGGCCCCCAGAATCACATGAGCCAAGACCTTGGAATAAATCTGTTAATAAGACCTAGATTTATATATTTATCTACCTGTCCTACTGGTCCTGTTACTGTGCAGACCCATGATGAACACAGAACCTCACGTGACAACTGAAGACCGTAGTTGGCGGGAGGAGCAGGAGATGGGAAAAGCCACCTCCATTCTTCTCTCACTGCAACCACAGAGGCCTTTCTAGTTCTCAAATGTGCCAAGCATGTTCTAGCTGCCAGACCTTGGCACTTGCTGTTCCCTCTGCCCAGAAAGCTGTTCCTGCGCGTATATGCATGCCTGTACCGACACTTCCTTCCAGATCTCTGTTTAAATGCCACTTCCTGCAGAGTCCTAATTTAAAATAGCCACTGCTCTCATCCTCCTTTTCTCAGAATTTCCCCCCAATGCTTATCATCACCAACTGTTTCATCTCTTTCTTTCAATAGTCTCATCCACTAGAATCTGAGCTCCCCAAGAGTCGAGACTTTGCTTTCTTCCTTCTGCACCTCAGTTCCTAGCACAGTGCTTGGCATGAAGAGAACGCACAATGGGCTCCAAATTGTACCATGCCAGCTAATTATAGGAGCTTTAAACTGCCTTTACCAACCAATCTCCTCTCGACAACCATGGACTCCTGGAGAGACGCAGTGGGGGGAACTCGTAAAGAGACGCCAGCGAGAAACAGCTTGGAGGGACTTGACAATTTTCCCTTATCTCTGATGATCCACATTGCCTGGCCAAGTTGTTCATGAAGGAGGCCTTATGATGCATCTCAAAAAAGCAACCACGGGCTCTCAATCACTCAGCAAATTTTGGAAGGAAAAACAGATATCAAAAACGCAAGTGCACAACAGTAATATATGATATCAGATCCGTCATTCTTTACAGCAACATGGACGATGGCGTTTGGGAAACAGCGGTTGCACCCAAAAGATAGACAGGCAGTTTTGACATGTCTTGCCAGTGAAGAATCACCCACCCCAGCCCCATTCCCCCCACACTCCTGGCCTGATCACAGGAATGACAGAATTACAAACAAATCAATCAGGCAGAGAACAGAAGCAGCAGAGAATCGGGCTTGGGTGGTAATAACAAGATGGAGAGCCAGGGTGCTGGTATCAGTGTATCCTCAGACGAATGGGCGCCTGCCCATTTGGGACATGGTAGGACTTACCTGGTAGGACTTACCTCTAATTATCCAGTTTAATGGTCTCATCATGCTGCTGAACTGCCCCCACGCAGGGTTAATTAGTGCAGCGAGACATAGTTACAGGTGATAAGTATCACGTAATCAGCCATTTGCTTCTGTGGAGTGAGTTTGTCATGGATTGGTGAAACTGGAGTGGAGGATACATACCCAGAAATCACAAACACTTAAGCCTACAAGGGTCAGTTGATAACATAAAAAAGACAAACTTTAGGCAATAGGGAGTGGTGGGGATTGTGGCTAACTGGAGGGTTCATGCCCCATCTAAAGTGGGCAGCTTACCCTCAGTTTCAGCTGTTAGAAGTCATCTGGGAATTCAGAAATTCAGAATTTATGAGGAGTGACACAGGAGTAATCAGAATTTATGAGAGGAGTGACACAACTCTTTTATGAGGCATCTCCTGATTTTTAAATGCTGGCAAGTAATTGAAAAAGTTCTAGACTAGATCCTCATTTTAAGATGGGGAGACTGAGACTCAGAAGGGGAAGGGACTTGCTTAAAGCAACTCAGCAGGTTGATAGCATAGGACCTAGAACCCCAGTGTTTGGTTTCCAGTTCAGTGTCTTTGCCCCTTCATTGTAGCAGGCTTTCCTGTTCGGCAGGAGCGGCCTTAGCTGCATGAGCGCTGGAAATGAGGAAGGCAGGTGAAGGATGGACTATGGGGGAAGATGTTTGAGCAAACGGGTCCTAAATTTTTCAAAAGCACAAAATTTTGAAGAGCACAGTTATTTTAACACATCCCAGTTCAATGGAAGTGCCAGGCCTAGGGGAGAGAGTCTGGTGAAAGGGGACAGCAGGATTTGGGGCAGGGGATGGGAGGCAGGGGCGGGATAGGGGTGCCTTTGAAAAGATGAATGGCGCTTCTGGAACACCTGTAGGGCTCTCGGCATCCCTTGGGAAGCACGCCTGGGCTCATAGCCAGATGGTTCTCCTTTCCTTTTACCCTAATCAAACTTCATGGGAACAGATATTGTGACCCCTTGTGATCTAAATTCCAGTAGTACAAACTCTCCTTAGAGGAGTTCCCGATACCAGACAAATCAGACAGACTGTGGAAGAAAACCAATAAGGGTGCACTTGGTCTGGCCAGAGCCCCATCACGTTTTAACCCCAGCCTCATTTTTTTTCCTGCTCTCAGCCTGAGCCCCAAGCCCTTGTTCCCCAAGACTGGGTGAATCTTCTCCCTGCAGCAATGCTGGGGACACAGTCTATATTAGGCGAATCAACAAGGCCATCTCAGAAGAGACCAAATAGGAAATAAGAGGCTCCATTGCCTAATGGGACTTATCAATTATGATCTAGGGCCATATTTCTTTGAGGGGTGATTGTTTCACGGAGTCTGACATCTCATATAGCTTTAAATTACTCACAACCGGGACGGCTTACAAGATAGCAGTAAAATCAGGAGAGGATTGGGCAATGTAATTATAGTATGGAAATGATGTTGATCACTCAAGCAGGGAGCAGACCTTGAATCGAAAACCCTACTCTATTTCCCCACCCCCTCCCCTCCTCTGCTCCTGCTCGGAGCTGTAGCACACACAACACCTGGGAAACATGGGGTACCCTCGCTCCTGCTCAGAAGCTGGACTTTGGCCAGGTCACTCTGCAGGGCATAATGAGTGAAAGGGCTGATGTGGACCTAAGGTTCAGGGCCAAGGAGAGACCCCAGAGGTCACAACAGTCAGGATCTAAAGGCCAGGATGGCAAGAGGCGGTGGGAATGGCCCATTGGCCTTGTTTGTAGAGGTAACAGTTTCCTAAGCACTGAATTTATACCAAGAATTCTGTTATGATCTGGGATTGTAGAAAGATGCTGCCCTCCCTCCCTGCATCCCTCCTTCCCTCCATCTTGTCTTTCTTCCATCTATTCCTGGGCACCATCTCCATGCCAGACACTATGTCAAGCTTTGAGGATACAGAGATGAATTGTTTCAACTGCCTAATGAACATACACTATGTGAAAACATTATGCTGAAATCCAGATAGAGAAAAACTTATTACTCACATTATTCATTCAAATACTTATTGATGATGGACTAGTTTGTTGGGCTGTTAAACATCAAGCCCATTTCTCTTCTTTCTGAGCCACCGCTAGGCTACCTTCCCCAGCCTCCTTTATAGACAGGAGTGGCCACATAACTAAAGTAACTAAACTAATTCTAGTCAACAGAATGTGGGCACAAGTGAGGTGGGTGACTCTGGCCTGGCTCATAAAATCTTCCTCCATGTGACCTCCCTCTGCTGTTTCCTCAGCCTGCCAGCTCTGGGAGTCAACACCCAGGGTGATCCCACAGGGCTACCTGTTGAAACTGGCAGAGCCATCAGTATCCTGGGTCCCTGAATTAACAAGTGGAGCAGAGCTCCTCCTCCATCTCCACCCTCTGCTGGCCTGATGCTGCATTGCATCTTCAGGTGAGCAAGGTATTTTCTTGCAAATATGTCACTGAGTCAACATTAATATAAAGCTTGGCAGATTCTGGGCAGGCCCCTGTCGATTATGCCAGTGGAAGTCAGGGAAGGGAAGATTTCGTGATTTAAGTTGTTATCTAGACACTATGCCAGGCATTCAGGGCTTAAACATGCAAGCTTTTTCTTGGTATTTGTCACGGCCCAGGCAGCATGTTGAGTGCCAGGCATATGGAGCACAATCCATTCATTCAGACACTAGGCTCCGGGGCTATAGAGTAAGTGGATATTAATGAATTATTTCCACAAACATTCATTAGGTAACTAGTATGCACCAGTCTGGGTGTTAAGCTTTGGGGACACAAAGAATAATTCATTCAAACATAGATTACATTTCTGTCACATGCTGGGCACACTGGCTTGGGCATTTGGGAACTGAAGATGAACAGGGACCTCTCCCCCGGGGTTTACCATTTGTGGAAGAGACAGGTCACAGTGGTGCAGTGCAAAAAGTGCTATAATAAAACTTTTTTTGAGATTCTACAGGGACACATGGGAAATGATGTCTGTTTGGAAGGGACAGCAGCAGGGAAAACTAGAAACCAGTGGTAGTTTTAGCTATAGGCTTTGAAGAATGAGTCTATGTCTTCTAGGCAGAGAATAGGGTGAAGGGAAATCCAGGCAGCAGGAACAGCATGTGCAAAGGTGGTAGGTCCTAGGATCAGTGAACAGTTTTATGTGACTGGAGCTCAGGAGTAATTGACAAGGACAGAATCAGGTGAGCAGGGCAGCAGTGAGTGTTTCTACCTGCGAGGTATGTGTGATTGGAACTAGAAGCAATTAGAGGCTTGAACTGGGGTGGGAGGAGACACTCTATGTTAGGCTGCTCTCACCTCCATGGGTATAGATGGTTCTGTTCTTGCTTTTTAAATTACACATTGAATGTGAGTGCAACTTTATGACATTATCCCACTAATATCCCTTTTTATGAATGAAAAAACTGATGATCAAAGAGGTAAATTATCCACTCAAATTGCAAACTGTCTGCTCCCAGGGCTGATATTTAAACTTCCAAATAAGGGTCATATTCTAAATGTGATTGGGGAAACAGATTTCTTGATCCAATGATGCTGAGGCCCTAAAACTCTCTAGGGTTAATTGACTATATATGGCAAAGGCCAACCAGTTCCCCCTATTGCTCCACAAAAAGCTCATTGGAACGTGTGCTCGTGCAAGCACAAGGTGAGGGTTGCAAAGGCGGGGAGAATCCTAGCTGAGCCCGGACTAGTCTGAGCTGTGCTGGGAAGGAATAAATCTCTTGTTGAGCCAACAAGCTTGGCAGGTTCTGGGCAGGCCCCTGTTGATTATGCCAATGGACATTGGGGAGGGGAAGATTAAGTTGCTGGGGGTGGCAAGAATGCACATTACACAGGGTAATGCTTTGAAAATATATAATATCCAAACAGCAGGCAACTAAAGGTGGGTGACTTGGAAGGGGGCAGCATCTGTTTGTAATTATGATGACCAGAACCCATTGAACAAGTGGGAAAGAGATAACATGGGTACCTACTTGAGGTGAGCTGCAGGGGTACCAGTCATTCATTCATCATGTGTTTACTTGGTACCTACGGTGCCAGGCACTGGGGGTACAGGGCTCAACATCTAGTGCTGCCTTCATGGAATGCAGAGTCTGGTGGGGGAAGATAGACCTAAGCAGGTTATTATGCCAGTTTTATAAAAAGTTAATGAAAGAGAACAGAAAGTGGTGAGGAAGAGCCTATAATGGTTTAGGTAGAGGTTATGGAGGACTGCCTGGAGGAGGTGACCTTTAGAATGAGCTTCAAAAGTTGAATTGTGGCTAATTTGGTAGAGTGTGCATGTGTATAATGGGTTGGATAACAGAAAAAATGTACATGGGAGCCTTGAGGCAGCAGAGTATTAGGAGTTTGTGAACCACAAAAAAGGAGGCCAGGATATTTTGTATATAGAGAGATAGGGCTCAGATAAAGCTGAGATATAAGCAGAAGCCAGACCAGGTGTGACCTCGTGGGCATTGTAAATGCTTTGACTTCATTATAGAGGAACAAGGAGTCGCTGAAGTCTATAAATGGGAGTTACTGACCGAATACTCCTTTCCTGAGGTATTTCACCAAATCCTCACTGCAACTTGGTGAGGTAAGTATGACCATTCTATATTATTTGGGTAAGGAAACTGTGGCCCAGAGAGGTGACGAAATTTGCCTGCAGTCACACAGCAGAAGAGTGGCACCTGGGCTTAATTTGTCCCAAAGACAGCAATTTAATACAGATTCCCTGACCTAACATTCTGGACCTATAGCTTAAGATTTGCATCCCAAAATATGAAAGGAGAACCTCTACCCATCATGAAACTAGTCTACGTGGAATATCGACAGAGGTCAGGAGACTCAGGTCAGAATTGGGAGCCAAGGACACTCACATTCTGGAGCAAGCGCCCAAGGTTACCATGACCTTCACAGGAGTCTGGTTTTTGGGATGCGTGCAGGGGGAAGAATGCCAAGGATCTGCAGATGCTTTAACCAGAGAGAGCAAGAAGATGCCAGAGCAGGCTGCTCACCCCAGGGCTTGCACGCCTGAGAAGTTACCTCAAGCATCCATCCACTGGGAATTCAAAAGCAAAAGACCAAACGGCCAAAAGCAAAATGTAAGATTTTCTCCCTGGAAGCATCTTGCTAGTTCAAATTTGGAAAGAGTAATTGAATCCATCTGGCATAACTTTGCAGCCTCAGTCAGATTTGGCCCAAATAATGGTAACGATGGTGTCCAGGAAAAATGATACTTTCATTTGGTAAATGAAAGAGCACCTACTGTGTGCCCAACTCTGAGCAGGCTCTGGGACTAGAACAGAGAAGACTGAGATGGAATCTGCTTCCCCGGAGCTTGAAGTTTCGTCCAGGGCGATATTAACTACCCTTTGTTGGGAACCCATGTACTATTGAAACAAATGTGCCGAATGCACAGCCCCCTTCTTTAAAACTTGCAGCTACTCTGTGGAGTAAGTACTTGTAGTAAACATTGCTGGTCCTGTTTACCACTCACAACTGCCCGCCTTTCTGAAGCTCAGAATCGCTGGTGAGTCAGTTACACGCAGCGCCGGACTGTAGCCAATGATGACTTCTTCTTATGGGAGCTCCCCTGGCTTCCCGTGGGGCAGTATCTTGGTGCCATTTATGCTCCAAGGCAGACTGGACCTCCACTACTTGGCTGCTTCTGCCCGTTCTAGCTCCCCCTGTCCATCCGTAGGAGTTTTCCTTAGACAGCTCCTGCAATTAATCTTGCATAAGAGCTCTCATCAGGAGCTTAGGAACAAGGGTAAGGCAAGTCTGGTGCCCAGGGTACAAAGTTCATGGACACACTCACTCTCCAAGGCTGACCTTGCATGTGTATGAGCCTGAGACTGAGGGGTCCCTTAAACTTTGTGCCTTGGGCACTTGGATGACATACTTATCCTGGCCCTGGTGCCAGTCTTACGTTCCCCTTCCAGGGAGCACGCCTCAAGATGGCCCCTTTGTTATACCTAATCCTCAGGTGGAGACAAGCAGTTGGACAGATGAAGCCATTTATCCAAGATGCCACAGCTTGTAAATGCTCAGACTGCTTGAAATCAAAGGGAAGCCATGCCTTCTGTACCGCCATTGCCTTCCGGACTACATGCCTGGTTAACTTGGGAGCGGAGACGCCAAGTGGGGGCAGATAGACCTAAGCAAATTGAGAAAAGAAATCACAGCTCCTGGGAGAGACCCCCCCAGTTTCACCTGGCACAGCCCCTAGCCCCAGCATCTGAAATAGTTGCTACGGCCATTTTAAGGCTAAGACACGCGAGGCCCAGGCAGCCAAGTCCCCAAACCTAAGTCACCTTAGAACTCACGCCCCTGCCTGCAGAGGCAGAGAATCAGGACACAACGGCTGAGAGTATCTCTGGCTTTGACACACTGAGATGGTCTAGGGGGCTGAGTGGGAGCAGGAGGTGTGTCAGGTGGTGGGTGGAGGAGGCAGAAGGTGCCACCCAAGATGACTGGCAAACCTGGATCTGACCTAGGCTCAGAGAAGGGGCTGCCTTCAGCCTCTGTGAGCCTGGTGCGAGAGGTTCTGGGGTCTGTTTGGTCTTGGCTCCATCTCTGACCTCGCAGCCTCTCTGTTGAGTCCTGACATTCAAGTCTCCAGGGAAACCAGTTCTCTCCTACCCTCCTCTTGATCTTATTATTGTGTGTTCCCCCAAACAGAGCCACGGAGTGTGCGACTATAATGGCTGCTTAAGACATCTCCTCCTTTTCTAATTTAGCTGGAGCGGAAGCACCAGTTAAACTTGTCATCTTGGAATTACTAAAACTGAAACACAGGAAGGAAGGAATTGAAATGTGCAATGGAGGGGCTGTGGGCTGGGAGGGCGATGGTTGCTTGAGTGGGAACTTGGGCCAGTCATGTCCCGGCCCGGACTGCAGTTTCTTCCTCTGTGATTTGGTGGGAGAAGGACTCTGTCCAGTTTGATTTCCTCTCTCCACCCTTCTGCTCTTCCAGATGTGCAAGGGATGTGCACGAACGACAGATACAAGCCTCGGATAGGAGGGGCAGATTCAAGAATATGAGCTTCTGGGAACTTGGGAATGAAACATATTTATTACGCACCATTATGCACCCAGCTCTCTGGGGCTGCTTCAGTGTTTGCTGCAGGGGGTTCTCTGAATGAGTTTCTCTACGCCCAGCTTCTCCGTTCTCCTCTTCCCTCCTGTCCGATGCCCCATTGCTCTGGTCCTCTGTGCTCAGGGAACTGTTTTATTGCAAACTTATTGTCTATGTCTAAATGGCTCTTTGAAGGCACTGTTCATGGCCTTGTGCCAAACTCATGCACAAGAAGAGCCCAAAATACCCTATCCTGTAGAGTCTCGCTTCAGATGCACTTACTCCAACCAGTTCTTGCCCTGGATCATCTGCTCCTCCTCCAGGATTTGGGCTCCATCATCGCCTGCCTTGAGGTTGCCTTCAACCAGATCTCCACAGATTCTCAATACAGGACATGCTGCTCCTCAGGAAGAGCTACGTGTTCCTAGTGTTCGTGGTCTGAAGACCATGTTTTTGTACAGTGAATACTCATTTAACGTCACCAATAGGTTCTTAGAAATTGTGATTTGAAGCAAAAAGATGTATAATGAAGGTGATTTGACCACAGGCTAATTGATATAAACAAAAGGTAAGTTCCTATGGTGTATTTCTGGTCACACTAACATCACCAAGCATCTAAACAATGACCCCAAATGCTTCTCATAGAAAACAACAATTTGTATTCCTCCCTCGCTCCCTTGATTCATTTTCCAAACAGCTTGTTCCAGTTTAGGGCTGAGGGTGCTCAGTGCCTATCCATGCAGCTTGGTGTGCAAGGTGCAAACCAATCCTGGACAGGACACCCGTCCATCAATGGCTTTCACACATGCACCCATACGCCCTCTGCAGGATGGCGAGACCCTCCCATGAACTGAACTGCCTGTCTTTGGGATGTGGGAAGAAATTGGAGGATCTGGAGAGAACCCACAGAAATGTACAAATGTGGGGAGAAGGTGCCAAATCCACATAGACAGTGGTGGTGGTGGTGGGGAATCCAGTTTTCCCCTTTGTGGTCCAGGGTACAAGGAAACGACAGGGGATGGAGCTTGGTTGGCAGGCCTGCTGTACTTTCTCCTTGCCCTGACTCTGGCATCTGTGAAATAAAGGGCCAGCCTTGCAGCCACAGCACAGCTGGTCTCAGAGAATCTTTCTCAGCTCTTCCATCCCACCAGCAGACTGATCTGCCTAGTCCCACGCTGGGAGGCCTGAGCCCCATCCCAGTCCTAATCAAAGGTCAATAGCTAATAAGAATGCCTGGGTTTTGATGACAGCAGATGCAATTCCCAGTGTAGAGAGCTGTGGATTCCAGAAGGATAAGATTGTCATTCTCCACTTTTATTTTCCTATTATCCACATGGAGAATCTAAGGCTTGCTGGGTGATGTTCAGGGAGCTGGTTCTCTTCTCTGAGCCTCAGCATTCCCCATCTGTTCAAATGGGCGAGCTGGATGGGCTCAGAGCCAATGACTTTCTGAGACGAAGCATTATCTGCTGCCTGCTGTGTTGTGCTCATGTCTCCTGGGGCAGAGGGTTTTGAAAGCATTCATCAGTTAATGCATCACTTGTTCATTAAAGATTCTTCCTGGACATCCTTGTAGCTCCCACTTGTCTAGGCATTCCACCCCCAGCCCCCACTGGTGCTGACAAATTGCTGCTTGAATTTCGTGGTCCCAGAGGCCTTCTTAAAATGTCCAGGAATGCGAGCCTGGGTGGGGGGCTGAGGAGGGAGCACAGTGATGGTGCCGGTGCTGGTGGGGGTATTGGCTAGAAGCCACAGCCGAAGCAAGCAGGACAAGGGTGCAGGGGGTGGGGTGTAGGTACCCCCAGATTGCTCAGGCAGTGAGGCGGTCAGCAGCGTGCTGACTTTGAAAGCAATCCAAAACAAGGTCTGCGTTCTAGTCTCCAGTGATGTCACAGCTAATCATTAGCCTGGTAATTACATTGAAAGCCTTCTGCGATCTTATCCTCAGCAGGGTCATTAATGCAAGGCAACCACACCAGTAAATGTCTCATTAGTCTTATTTTAGACTTATGTATTTTTCAGGACTACAGAATTTTAATAGTCTGCCCTCCCCCCAGCTCCCCCTTCTGCGACATTAATATCTATTCCACATGCCAGACTCTTCCAACTCCCCCCTCCCCGTTTTCCCTGCTCAAAGCCCCCAGAGGAAGGCCCTGCAAGGAAGGAGGATGGAGCAGGGAGGTCGACAGGGGCCAGGTCTTCGCCTCCCCAACTCCGTCTCTGGCCTCAGACTCTTCTGTAATGACAATCTTTCCTGGATTTTCTATGTCTTTCCCAGGAAGCATCATTCTTTATTTTAACCCTCTTTAAACCTTTTTCCTCATCACTGAAGATATACATGCTCATTCCAAAGACAGGAAGATAGAATTACCACGGATTTCAGACCCCAGGCAACATGATCCCCCTCCTGTACTGCTGGCTTTCCCTCTGGCCCCCCGAATGGGCTCAACTTCTCCCCTCCCAGGGCCCTGGAACATTGCTGTTCCTCTGTCTGCAGCATTTCCCTCTCTCCTCTCGACTCCAAAATGACTCCTACATTCTCTCCAGGGTACAGCCTAAACAGCACTTTCTCCTGTGTGCCCTCCCCACCCACCTTCCCACTCAACTTTAAGGATGTACCTGCCATTTGATGCCTTCGCCTGTGTCCTACACCGCATGTGTCGCCGTGGCCACCAGCTATCTGTATGTGAAGCTATATGCTTGGTCGCAGTCTGTCTCTCTAGGCACATTTCTCCAGAGTGACTGAGAACACACCTATGTGATTCATTTACCTTAGGCCCCAGTGGTCACCCCAAGGGCAGTAGATACAAAGAAGTATCAATAAGTACTTGCTGAATGGATGGATATATGGATGAATGGATGGATGTGGGGGGTGGGTGAAGGGAGGGATGGATAGATTGGTGAATGCATGAGTGGGGATGGATGAGTGGATAGAGGATGGATGAATGGTGGATGAATGGATGGATGGATGGATGGACAGATAGATGGGTGGATAGATGGATGAATGGGTGGGTCGGTGGGTTAATGGATGGATGGATGGATGGATGGTGGATAGTGGATGGATGATGAGCTTATTTTTGAATATTCCCTTCCAGTCTTTCTGTGGCATTTTTACATGCAACTGAAACAAGACAGTGTGTGATTTTGTGTCTGACTTTTTTATCCTGCATTTTTCTATATGTTAATGACTGCAAGTATTTTTGATGCCTGTATAGTATTCCAGTTAATTTACTCAGCTAATTCCCTACTGGTATGCATCTGTGAAGCTGATATTTCTTGTAATTTAAGGCTTTGGGCTCCAATACCAAGAGTCAGGGGGCAGATGCTGCCATATCCCAGCAGTGTGACCATGGAATTATGAACAATTGTATAATCTCTCTGTGCTTCAGTTTCCTTGTCTGAAAAACAGGGATGGGGGATTTTGAAGATGAACTCAACACAAGTGAAATATGTAGAGCAGTGCCTGGCACCCAGTACATGTTAATTACAATTTCCAGTTGCTACCCATACATGATTTGGTGAGGGATACTGGGTGGACGGGGCTTCAGCTGTTTCCCTGACTTTTCTATTAGGCTTGCCAGGGTATTTCTGGGATCCTAAACCTTGGAAAGCCCAGGATGGGACCTGAGACACCTTTCCCCTCATGACCTCACCATTTGGGGAGGCTCTCTTTAAAGTATGCTGGTTAGCTAGCTGCGCTATCATTTCCCTTCACTATCCTGGTTTCACCCCCAGATCTTTCCCTTGAAGAGTGTGGTAGAAAGAACCAGAACTTCAGAGTCATGGAGGTGGGGGGCTGGGGCTGCCATTCTGTCCCCTGCAATCCGGGGAAACTTAGGAAAGTGACTTCCTGTTTCTGATCCTGGGTGTAAACCGCAAGTGGGCAAAGTACACCCAGATCACTGGCTGCTGGGAGAATTAAGTGAGCAAGTGTGTGTCTGGCATTCGGTCTGAGCACCACCCTGGACTTGGTAATTACTGTCCTGAGACATGTTTGTGGATGCCCTCTCTGAAGTTACTTGCCAGTGTCCCCCCACCATGTGTTTGGTAAGCCACGCTTGGGGGCTTGGCAGGAGGTGTATGTGGCCAATGTCACATTGGGAGGAAGGAAGGGGTGGAGAAGCAGGCAGGCTCCAACTGTGGGAATCCAGAGAAGCGAAACAGACTCACTCTCACTGTGACTTTGCAGGCCAGCGGTGCCCCTTCTTTGAGCCCTCGTTACTTCAGCTTTGAGAGAGAGGACTCCAGCAGGCTGGTGGCAGTGACTCCATGAGATGCACGCCTGCTCAGCTGTTGATGCATGGTGAGAACTCAGCTTGGACTAGCTCATATTTTTTCAGAACAATGGTAGGAAGTGTCCAGAGAACTCCAAAGTCACAGAGGCTCAGAAGTCAGGTCTCCTTACTCTTGGTGTGACGCCCCCTGCCCTGGCCAGACTGCCTTCATTGTGGATGCTTATTGCAATCAAAAGGGAAGGCAAGTCTCCTGTGTCCCCTACCCAGAATCTTCTATTTCTGGCTCCTGAGGTTGGGGGCTCTCCTACTCAGGTTATCGCCCCCAGGTCTAGAGTTTGGGGACCTTCCAATGGTGCACATGCATGATTGCACATGATCTATGTTTCTCTCTTTTGCTGCTGGCTGCCTGAGACTAGCATGGTGCCTGGCACACACACATGCAAGGTTTACCAAATATCTGTAAAATGAATGAATGAATACTCCAGAAGTAGCTGCTGTTCCAGAGAGGCCAGCTGCCAAGCCTCCCTCCCTGGCTCCTTCCCCGGAGCCTGTGATATTTAATTAATATGAGCCGAGCAGAGCCCACTTTATGGTACTGGCCCAGGGGCCACCCATAATTGAAAAATGATAGGAGGCACCTGCGACTTGACCTTGGCTAATGATGGATAGACCCACATGGAGACCAGGAGCCAAAGACCCAGGGGCTGGCGCATCTGCCCGGAGCATCTAGGTGGAAGGAAAGGAAAAGAGATATCTGCAGCCCCGGCCTATCACCTCAGAAGGCAGGTGGGGGGCTCCTGGGAACCCCCTCCCTGAGGGAACACTGGAGGTGTCAGGGCAGGGAGGTGCCACCAGGTCCTGTGAAGTCTCAGAATGGCAGCAGGCATTGCTGCTCTCGTGTCCACACAGGCTGGGGATTTAGTCCATACCTGTCAGATGGATGAGTGAACAAATGAAAGACTTGGGGGTACTCTGGGAAACAGAGTAGGAGGAGGGCCCCACAAGCTGCAGGCTGGGCAGGGGCTTAGGGAATAGGGCTCAGACTGGTGCACTCCCTCCCTGCTCCCTCCTCTGGCTCTGGTGATGGATGATTGGGGGCGTTGGGGCAGCTCTATGTTGTTAATGCTGGTCTGAGGTCACTTTCTCCCCTCTCCCTGGCTCCAGTGTCATTCCCCCTAAAGTACACCCCTTCATTTTCCCCTCCAAAGGGGAGAGGACTCTATTTAGGGGAAGCGCTGCTGTAGCTTCCAGCCACTGGAGGGGAGGTGCTTCAAGGCCGTGGGATTCTCCACATCTGTGCTGGGCAAGGTCTAGGTGCAGAGAGGAACATGGGGGGCCTCTCACACCCTCAGGGGACACATCATGTCACCGAGGGCGTGAAGGACTGGAACAGAACTCAGATTACAAGACTCTGAGAGGGTGGTGGGGCCTTTGGCAGGGAGGGCGGGCGCTGCCTCCAGCCGCGGTGTGAAAGAGTGGACCTCAGTGGCCAAGAGTGCGGGGAAAGGGACAAGACTGCTGAGAGCAGCACTGTCGGGCTTCTAGAGCCTTCTCAGACCCAGTGCCCAGAGGAGGAAGAGGTGATTAATGTCTGGTTGATGGAGGTGTTAAGTGCTTCTTGGAGAGCGCAGCAGCTAGCCCAGGGCCCAGTGTGGACAGGGGCCACTTCGGGCCTCCACCCAAGGATTCCTGGGTAATCCCCTGCCCTCAGCCTCCCGCCACCTCCCCACCTCCCTTCTGAACCTGCGGGCTCTAGAGAGAGTGCCACCTCTCACCTCTCTCAATTGTGATAAAATATATAGAGATTTTCCTTCATGGTCATTTCTTTTTTACTGTTGAGGTAACTGGTTTACCACACTATGTTTTAGAAGCACAGGTGCTCCCTCTTCGGGTGTTGTGACCGCACGGCACCCATCAGCAGTGCACCCAAGGGCTGCCAGGATAGTCCGTGGTGCTCCCTCCCCACTTGGTTCTCTCCCCTGCCCGCCCCCCACCCCAGTAACCTCAGTCCTGGAGTCAGATTTCCAGGGTTTATTATTGGTTTGGCTTTTGCCTGACCCTTTGGTTTCTCTACATTCCACATATGGCACCACCTGGTATTTCCTTTCTCCATTCGATTTACTTCGCTGAGTGTAATCCCCTTGTAGGGTAGATGGAATTTGTCAGGATTTTCCGCCTCCCGCCATTAGCATCAATGATCCACACCTGTGGTCTTGCACGCGCGCCTGATGGCGGCCGCCCCTGGAGTGGGTGTGGGCATGCGTAAGTGGACACACCTGGGCTGAGAGGCTGACCACCCCCCCCCCCATAAGGGCAGCATCGTGGGGCCGCCAGGGGTAGAAGCAGCGGTAGCAGAGAACCGGAGACCGTGTGAGAACCCCAGAGAGCCCAGAAAGAGTGAAGATAATGGGGGTGGGAGGCCTGCCAGCCTCCTGCCCCCCAACCCCCAGCCTGCTGTGTCCCTGGTTGCTACACTACAAATAATGTGAAAAAGCTCCAAAAAAGCCTGAAAAAGCCACCGAGGGCTCCAGGCCTCTTTTTTACCCATCTGCCAGGATTATAGAGAAACTGCTCTGTGTCTGGCTGGCGCTACACCCCTCCAGTTCCATCCGTATTATCACAAATGGTAAGAATTTATCTTTTTTTTTTTATGCTGAGTAGTATGCCATTGTGTGTCTATACCACGTCTTTCTCATCCACTCATTTATATTCGGGCAGTTGGTTGCTTCCACGTCTTGGCTGTTGTGAATGGCGCTGCCATAAACATAGGCGTGTATGTTTCCTTTTGAACTAGCGTTTGTATTCTTCAGGGAGATCCCTAGGAGTGGAATTGCTGGTCGTGGTAGCTTCATTTTTAATATTTTGAGGAACCTCTGTGTTGTTTTCCAGAGGGGCTGGGCCATTTTACATTCCTACCAACAGTGTCATAGGGTTAATTTCTCTGCACCCTCACCAGCGCTTGTTCGTGGTTGATACAGATGGGCCATTCTCACAGGTGCGAGGTGGTATCTCATTATGGTTTTGATCTGCATTTCCTTTATGATAAATGATGATGAGCATTTCTTCATGTGCTTGTTGACCACCTGTGTGTTTTCTTTGTGCCTGTTTAACAATGCTACCCATTTATATTGGGTTATTTGCTTCTGTTGACTTGCCATCATAGCCATTTTTTTAAAAGATTTATTTATTTATGCATTCAAGAACTGGGGTATAGGCCAGAGGTGTGGGGTGGGGTGAGAGGACTCACCAGAGACAGAGTGGGGAACAGAACAGGCAGACTGACTGAAATACACTGCTGAGGGGAGCAGTGGGCAAGACAGGAGAGGTCTGCTGCGCCATGTGGGTTGCTCTCTGGGCAGGGATTGAACTTGTACTGCAGTGGCTGTGGGTAGCTTCATAGGTTGCATCTTAACCCCTTGTGCCACTAGGGAGGCCCATCATCACAGCCATTTTTAATTGTGTAGTTCAATGACAGTAAGCACACTCACACTGTTGTGCAACTGTCACCACTGAATTTTTCATCTCCCCCAACTGAAACTTTGGCATCAATAAACACTCACTCTCCAGCCCCCTGCCCCCAGCCCCCCAGTCCCTGACAACTACCATTCTACTTCTCTGTCTAGGAACTTGACTCTTCTTGCACTGCATCAAGTGGAATCAGACAGTAGCTGGCCTTTTTGTCTGGCTTATTTCACTCCCTATGATGTCCTCAGAATTCATCCATGTTGCAGCCTATATCATATTCCCTTTCATGAAGTTGAAGAGTACCCATCGTAGCATACACTCCATTGGGCTAGTCCATTCATCTGACAATGGACATTGGGCTGGGCTTGTGAATAATATATAGATGTATGAGTATCTCTTCAGATTCCGCTTTCCACTCTTTTGGGTAGACACCCAGACGTAGAATTGCTGGACCATATGGTAATTCTATTTTTAATTTTTTGAGCAAAATCCATACTTTTTTCCACCATAGCAAGCACCATTTTTTTTTTTTATCCCATCAGGAATGCATGAGATTCTGGATTTCTCTACAACCGTTTGGTATTTTCTGTTATTTTTTTCTTTTAAAAAAATATTTAATAGTTATCCTAATGGATATAAGGTGGTATTTCATTATCTTTTGGTCTGAGTTTCCCTAATGATTATGTGGAGCATCTTTTTATGTGCTCATCAGCCATTTGTAGATTTCTTTTCCATGCGATATACATCGTAGATGCTTAATAACTTTTGTTGATTGAGTCAGTGATGGGCATGGTACCCATGGGTGCTTAGTAAATGCATTCTTAGCTAGGGCAAGTGAGAGCACAATCCAGGATCACCAAGGTCACAAGTTCAACTTGTGGATGACCTGGCAATATTTCAGAGATAGGAAAACCAGTCCACCAGAGCTGGGATCCTGGCTGGATACTTGAGGGCTGTTTCAGAGCCAATGCCCAGCATGCTGGACACACACAGGTTGTATCAGCTTTCTAGGGCTGCTGTGACAGAGTCCAGGTAGCTTAAACAATGGAATTTAGTCCCTTACAGTTTTGAGAAGCTAGAAATCCAAGATCAAGGTGTCCATAGGTTTCTTCTTTCTGTGTGCTGTGAGAGAATCTGTTTCATGCCCTCCTGAAGGAGGTTTTCCAACAATCCATGGTGCTCTGGGACTGGAGAAGTGCCATGCTCCTCTCTGCCTCTGTTTCCACCCACATGGTCCTCTGTGTGTGTGTGGGGGGCATTGTGACAGGAGGGACTGGCATTCCCATGATGGCCACACAGACTTGCAGCTGAAGCCCATCCCACGCTGATGCTGGCCTGGCCTCAGTCTTGCCTCCTGCCCCTCCTTCCCAACCTCCCCCTGCCCCACAAGTGCAGTTGCAGCCCCCACCATGAGCAGGCTCTGCTCGCACAGTTATGCTAGCCCTGAACTGGGTCCATGCAAGTTCTGTTGATGTGACTCCCAGCTCTGCTACTGTCACAGCTTGTGAACTTGAGCCTGAGCACTCTCTGAGCCTGTTTTCCTCCCTGGTGATGTGAGGATCATGCTGTGAGGTTGAAATTATATGACACATATCATGATGATGATGAAGAAATTTCCTGGGGACCTAGTTGGACCCCAGAAGATGGGCATCTGCAAGGTGGGATCTTGGTGAGGCTCCATGAAGCTCCCAGTTCCCCTATCACATCACGGGCAGCATGGGAGAGCAGAGCATGCAAACTACTGCCTCTGGGCAAACCCAGCCTCCTGTCTGCTTCTGTAAA